TAAGTGTCTAGCAGTTCTTGAAGGACTCACTTGAAGTAGTGCTAGCTTAAATTAAGCCCATGGGCGCTACTATATGTTCCGGTTTTTTTTTAAAAAACTGCTCACATTCTTAAGGTGTCTAATTATAGACTGGTAGCTTAATTTTAGGCTCTCAATTTTAAAAAACCTTGGACCATGTCAACAGTAAGAATTCCTACATCCTATATTTTCTCACATGCACTTTTTTTCTAATAGGCAGCTGCTGGAAATTGGAGTGGTAAGAGGAAATATAGTCACAGAAGTTTTTGATGATTAAAGTTTTGCCAGGCAAAAGCAAAAGTAAAGCCTGCATGTAATCCATAGTGGGTGTGTCTACACATGCAATTAATTTGAAGCAATAAACTCCATAGCAGTTTAAACCAGAGCAAACTCCTGGGCACAGCATCTACACGTATGCCCACGACAGAAGTAATTTGAGCAGTTTGGGGAAGAGCAGTTTGTCAGGGCCGCTCCTGCCCTGCTCTGCCCTAGGCTCTGGGTGGTGTTGTCGGGTGGTAGAGGCAGTGGCTGGGCCATGAGGGTGCTGAAAGTATGGAATCATAGGCTAGGCGGCAGGCAAGGGTCTGGCCCCTTGCTGCCTGGGCTGACTGGGTGCAAGTTACACCTGCAGTCTGTTTACATGTGCATTTAATCGTAGCTAATTACTTTGCTCTAAAATAGTACTGTACTATCCTATGGTAGTGTTAATTAGTTTATTTCAGCTTAATACTGTTGCATATGTAGACAGTGATGCTTTACTCTGCAGCTAATAGTCTACTCCGCAATAAAGTTCATGTGTAGACACAGCCAGTAAGTAGGTTCAGTTCACTAGCTGCTGCTACTCAGTTACTTGCTACATGGAAAAACCTTATTTTCTTCATTCTACCTTTCAAAAACAAGGTTCATATCTCGGGGGGGCATGTTGTTTGTGAAAAAATACAATAATATCTACAAATAAGGTAAACATGAGATCAGGGTTACAGAAAGTGTGTACTATATAGAATTGCAAAACATTTGATGTTTCCATTTTAGGATCTACCTTTGAATTAAGGAAGCCATATGAATCTAACATATAGAAGGGATGCAAAATTTGGTCCTTAATTATTTGTCAAGGGTTTTATGAGTAGCAGTGATATTTTTAATTCCCTGCCATTGTTTTGTTGCTTTCATTTTTTTGTGAGAATGAGCATTTAGGGCCTCTCTACTGTATTTTTCTTTAGCATCTCCATTTATAAGTACACAAAGATCCTTCATTCTTTCTCCCACCCTGCTACGCACACACGATTTCTGCATGGTATCTTGTCATGGTGTTTGGTAAGGATTAGAGCTGTACTTTGTACAGAAAAATGTAAATGAGATCAGTGAAAGTATGCTTGAATAATGATCAAAGAAAGAAGCAGAATTACAGAGCTATTACAGAGCTATTTGTTTAATGGTTGATCACTATCTGTCCTGATAGTGATCTTTAAAAAAAAAAAAGCTTGAGTTGGTTTGAGAGTGGGTTGTTTCATCATGCCTACTTCAGAAGGCTGTGCTTAGTTCAGGTCTAATATTAGCATTAAAAATAATCTAAACCTTATTTAGCCTGAACATGGCAAACATACTGTCAAGGGGAGCAAGGATATTTTTAAAACCAAATTATACAAAATTCCCAACAATTTGCTGTATTACTTTATTATCTTACAAGCTACAAACAATTGAGGATTGTGCCTGCCAAATCAAGGTGATTGCATGCTTAATGGTTTAAACATTTGACCTTAAGAATATTATTAAATCACCTTGCATATAGTTTTGCACATATAAGTGGAGGGCCAGAGTAGGGGGATACTTGTAGTTAGTAAGGACTTTTTCCCTACCAATTTTTTTTACAACAAACCCCACCCCCAAAAAACAACAACAACAATAAACCCAAAGTTAACTCAAGCAGAAAAGAAAATGGGGAATCTTCTCATATTGGAGCTGAGCTTACGCCCATGGTCCTAGATGTAGAGCCTAACAACTCAAATGACATTTCCTGTTTCCTTGCTCCCTCACCCTTTCCTAGACAGACAATCTGTGGTCCTCCAAATACCTAAAAAGGAAGAGTTCAATCCTTACTCACCAAGGACCCAGTTATATTTCCATTACTGTGAAATGTTACTTCAAACCAGAGCCAAAACGATATATATAGTGGGTTTTTTTGGTTAAAAAAAAGAAAAAGTACTTACAGAGACAAAACCCAGCACCTTCACCTAGTCAAACTGGTATCTTCCAAAATTCAAGGTGTTGCCTTTACTAGAGATCAGAGTGGGATTTCAAAACCATTCAGTATTGCAAGTTTTATAGTTGACTTCAGTGGTAGCAAAACTAGGTCAGGTCTGAGTTCCTTTAAAAATCCTGTGTGGTATGCCAAACTTATCCTGGATTGGCTTTTACAGCAAACTAAGCACCTGAAAAATATGTGCCTGTAGTAGAAGTTCAGAATGAGCTTTAGCTACAGTGTCACAAACATAAATGACCTTCTTGTCTCATCCAAAATAATGTGCATGAGACAAATTCAGGATGAAAGGTTGGCTAATAAGAGCAATGGAGGGAGACCACAAGTTATTTAAAATATGTGAAGCAACATGCCTTACAAATTTTACAAATAACCATACCTATTGCCCACATATGAAGGTGTAAAGTCAGAAGAATTGATTAATGTAAGTAATGGATTTTCAAGACTAACAAGAGACAATTCAGTTTCCTAACAGTAGTGGTTAGTCTTACAGGGTAGAAGGTCACTTTATTTCCTTTCTCTCTCTCCCCCTTTATTGTGCATGAAATAAGTAAACCTGTCTTCCTCTATCCTCTCACACAGGTGTGCCACAGTGATCCTGTGGGTAATTGCTATGGCTACTTTCTTGGGAAGGTCCATTTTTGCTTTACAGATTGCTGATGCCATCATGAATATAATACATATGTTCATAATTTTCACATAATAGGTAATGTTTAGCATGTCTTAGTGCCATGTATATCCTTTTTCTTTATCATTGCTAACATTTTCTTTCATCCTTTCTGTTGAATGACTACCTCTGGGAAAAGTGAATTCATAAAAAAAATAGGCATTTTATGTGTTTGACATATCATTCTCTGTAAAGGATAAAATCCAAACTTCCAGTGCCAGAGTTACCATTGACAAAGTGTGGGCACTCTTTTCTATGAATCCTTCCTGCCTGAAGCCAAACTGTATTTAAGTCTCTATACTGTTACTTTATGGGTACATCTACATGTGCACTTTATTGAGGAGTTGGCTTATTAGCTCCTCAGTAAAGCGTCACAGTCTACACATGAGCCAGTATTTGGCCGCGGTAAATTAATTAACTCTGATGTAGGATAGTACTGTTGGGGACAATACTATCCTACAGCAGAGTCATTTACTCCACCAAAATGTACATGTAAATGGTGACAGGGGCTGGCTCGGACATGGGGGTTCTAAAGGGCAGGGACTGTTTGCTGCCTAGCCCCCACTGTAACATCAGCCAGACCCTCCAATGCCAGAGCTCAGGGCTTACCCCCCCGGGTCTCCTGCCAGCCCAGGGCTGCTCTGCCCTGAGTCAAAGTGCTGTGGTCCTGGGAGTACATGTAAATGCTGCACCCAGGAGCAATTTAATCTGGTGCAAACTGTGCTGGAGTTTATCATGTCACCTTAATGGAATGTGTAGATGCACCCTATTTGTTGTAAAGTACTGTGGGGAAGGGAAAGAGAGAACTACCACTTAGTTTGCCTTAAAGAATTGAGAGGCAGCTGTGATACTGAGGATTATTATTTCCATTCCAGTATTTTCCTTTTATGCACATAGTGATCTGGCTGATTGCAATGTCTTTGCAAGAGGCAGAGGCTTTCAATCTGAAGTCCTTGTATAGAAACAGAAGAAGAAGACTCCATGACCTTTCCCACATTTTTCTTAAAACAACTGAGCTACAGGATACTGGGCCACTTGAAGACAATTTGGGGCCCATTGGAACACATGATGTGGTCTCTAGGTGCTGCCCATTTAATATCTGCTACCTCCCTACTTCATGTGGGAGAAGCAGGGTTGGCAGGAGGGATTTTCTGTCCCTCACATCAAAGGTAGGGGTAGCAGAAGAAGAACCCCTTTAGCATTTATCCTACCAGCTGGGATGCATTTGTTTTGATTGACTCTGCATTACGTGCTGCATGCATTAAACACTGTTAGAGTGCTGTTGACAGAGCTCCACAGAGCAGGGAATTGTACAGCTAACATCCCTTCGGGATGCAGAAGGCAGAGAACCTATTGCAGGGAAGCTATCTCAGTTTGGGGCAGGCATCACTGCATGGGTTACACTGGGTTTGTGTGTTCTGGCTTTTCTGCATGCCCACAAGAGCAAGGAACTCATGTATTTTTAAAAAGAAATGGGAGAAACTCATATAATTGCAAGATCCATTTCCTTAGTTTTAGAATGGCCATGACTTTATCTAATCCAGTAAGGTTCTGATGAACTGAATAAAACTGTTGCGAAAAAGCCATGATCTCTGTAGGAGTACATTGACATGGGAAAAAAAGGAGCAAGGGTGAAATGTAGTTTCTAAATACCAAATAATTAGGCACTCTATTAATAGCTAGACAAAGAGTTTTCAGTAAATAGTAACTGCTGCTGAATGCAAAATGGAACCATACTTACAAGCAACCCCTGTTTAATGCTGTTTCACTTAGCACTATTTCACTATAATGCTCATTTGAAATTGATACCTGATTTCACTTAGCGCTCAGCAAGTTTCATTATAATGCTTACGGTTGCCACCTTGGGTCATTAAAAACAACTGCAGTTGCTATCTTGGGTTGTCAAATACTTTTGGTTTCGCTTAATGCTTATTTCACTTAATGCTCAGTTTTTCAAAAACCAGTGAGGAGCACTAAGTGGGGGTTGTCTGTAGTTGCCATTTAAAAATGGAGGGTAAATAATGAACTGATCTCTTGTGGTTTGTTCTTCTTTTCAAGGTCCAGATCATCCACACAGTCTGTCTTACAAACTAGAACTTGGATCAGACCAGGAAATTCCTTCGGACTGGTATCCATTTGCTACTGTACAGTTTGTTGTACATGATGCGTGCGCCTCAGGGACTGAAGTGAAATCACTGGGCATAGAGAGTGATGTTCAGCCCCAGAAACATGTGATTCAGAAAGCTTGCTACAACTGCCAGGTATTCTTCACTCCTTTGATTTCAGCAGACTTTACCCCTAAATCAGGATATCTAAAGCATGTATGATTTATATTTTCAGCATAGTTAATATCTGTGCATAAAACAACTACTTAATGAAAGAATATTCTTGATCTGGATATATGATTATCAGAGATAGTGCCCAAACCAGAACCATAAATCCAGTTTCATCTTTTTCATCAAACAATTTTTTTGGGGTGGTGATTTGAATTCCCTTGAATCTGGAGTCGTGTGCTTCAGACCTCTCTCTCTGGTGCTTGATTTTGCACCTACTGAAGACCAAATCAAAAGTTCTTATTGACCTCACTTGCCATGGATCACCTTTCTAATACCTAAACACCTGTTAATGTTGTACTTGTATTTTTGTTCCCCTAACTACAGGTTGAAATTGAAAAGAAGTGGATTAGGCTTGATGGTGAAGACCCAGATAAGGCTGGCAACTGCCTTATGCAGTAGGAGAAGATGAGAAGCTCTCTCCTGTATTGTTAGATGTTCTTAATAGTGCAAACAGTAGGGGGAAATATTAGTGGGGGTTGTAGTAAACATTAGTAAACATCGCTGGCAAAAAGTACAATGACCAAGTTTGAGAGAGATGCAGCAGTTGAAATCCAGTATTTGCAATTTTTGTAATGTCTTTGGGTCCAGTCCTGAAAACTGTTATTCATTTAATGAGACCTCATGCAAGCAAGCACTCTGCAGCAAGAATGCTGATGTGAATGAGTTCTGCTGATACCGCTCTAGGTTTGCTGGACATGAGCCCTTTGAGAATTGTAATAGACATCTCAAGAAAATATCTGTTGCTTAGTTTGCAGCACGGAGCGTGAGACCTTTCCTAAGATAGCACTGTTATAAAGTAGTTTGCATCAGTTGGGTATATGGTGCCAGATCCTTTTCTACCTATTGGGCATCCGGGTATCTAAGTGTAAATTTATTCCACCCTGCTCAAATCTTTGAAAAAACTCAGTGTCACATTGATTTCTGTCCATCTTAGCCTAAAGACAATGTCACAAAAACTGACAAGGGAAAGGCCCAACCTACCATTTGCATTAAGAATTTTCTATGGAGTTGAAAAGGGTCTCACAGGATGCACATAGACCCATACTTGCCTAAGTGCCTCTGAGATCCATAGTTGATGCAATATGACCCCATGGCATTTAGCAGTAAAAGCATTCCAAGTACCACACATACAGCATCTGTACAGGACTTGACAAAGCTAGTTGCATATCTGAGTGCACATTGCAAGCATGATCCTGTATTCCTTCCCTTTCTGTTTCCTTTCTAAGCGCAAGCTTAGAATTATTTTCTATAAAGAGCCTGTATTAATGCATAGGATGTGGGTGACTTAAGTGGTTGGCTAAGTAAACTTCCTCAGGAATAACATTCCTAATTTTCTTTCTTCTGTGGCTATAAATGCTACTTTTGTGGCATACTCTAGCATTATTCAATGCAAAGTCTTGGGCAGAAGGGCACAACGGACCTGATTGAAATTCCCATGCCCAGACAAGGCAAATTTATTTCAGAACTCACAGACCAAACTAAGGTCTGGGTCCTCTGCTAGTGAAAATGAGCATAGCCCCATTACGTTCGGTGAAGTTATGCTGATTTATGCTAGCAGCAGGATCTGGCTTTTGAATTGAGAAAGTGGCTGATCGTTACCAGTTGTTTGTGTTCTTTTGGATCTCCTTCAAGATTTGAGTACCAGATGTTAGTTTGAAAGTAGAGCCTGTTTTGCATCCCTGTCTTGACAAACTGTTACAGGGGACATAAACATACACAGAAAGTGAGATTTTTCTTTATGCTGCCAGCTATAAAGACATTTTCTACAGTTAAAAAGAAGCAGCAACAGGAAGACTTCCATACCTAGTAATGCAAGAAAACTTGTTTGTAATGCTTCAAAGGCCAGTGTCAGCATGAGAAGTGACCGGGTGCTTAGAAGTTTAAGCAAGTTTTTAATGTATTAATGAATTTGGGAGGTGTCTTCCAGTTTTCCCTCATTGTTTGCCTCTTTTTGGAGCTATCTGCTTGCTGCATGGAGAGATCAGAAGAGAATATGATGAGTTCAGAAAGTTATGTTGATATTTTTTGCCACAGTTATGCAAAAATTATCCTTCCTTCAAACCCAAATCCTTTGAGAACAAAAATATAATAATGCACTAAATCTCACTTTATACTGTGTCACAGCTATAGCTGTTTATATGGGCATTGACTACAAAGTTAGATAAATGTTATTCCCCCAAAGTAGAAATACTCAAGATAGGTTTTAAAAAAATGATTAGTCTGGAAACAAGGCCATATCATGAGCCTCATTCAACACAATAAAAGGTTTTTTCCCCCAGGTGAAAGTACATAACGAAATGGATAATATATTTTAAATTCTGTGTACTTCATAGCCAAAGTCCATATTGTTTCTGATGATATTTTTTGTTTATATGTTCCTTATTGGAACATTGTTTTATGATAAAAGCCCTATAGTGAAATAGCATTACAAACTAGATTTCAGATGCTGCATCTTCTGTGCATGTTTTGACTGGAGACGCAATTAACACCTTCAACTTTGTTCATGTTTAAATATAATTAATCGATTTGTTTATTTGTATTTACTTGTGGTGCATTTAGTTATTTGCCAAATGAAATGGTACTCTAGGAAAACATCAATTTCCTTATCATTAATTTAAGTAGGAATCTGGAGTTCACTATGAATTAGCATAACCATTCTCCCATTAACCTTTCCCTATTCAGTAAAGAAGATGAAGCAAAACTCTCTTTGCCTAGGTTGGTAGCATGGCTCCCTCCATAAGCTGTTCTTTTGCATGAAGGAAATCACGGTTCTATTCTGATATCAAAGTGGCCATGGCAACTTCCAGTTCAAAGCACTGTAGGTACCCAAAGTGTCTAAGAGCACGCCTTGTTCCATATGGTCCCATCTACTTGTGCAGTGAAATTCTGCAGTCCTGTTTTTGTTCTCTGAATTCTGCCTTTATCTCTCTGCTTTCTTCCTTGGCTTTCATTGTGCAGTCCTTGGTACTATCATAGACCATCTTCTGCAGTCATGATGGATTTGTTGGCTCTGCCATTTGCCTGCTGCTGCACATGATTTGTCTTTCAGGTCAGGGATAGCACTTTAAAGTCTTGCATCCTGATCTCTCAAAATATGACATATACCTTTGCCTGGTCTGAGTTACTTGCAGCCATTCCATAATTTTCCTGCCCAGCAGGTGAGTCCACCTGGAGAGTTCTGTTCATGTTATGCACTCAGTGTTTTTTCAGCTATATAAGTGGCATTTTTGGCACTTGCACGGCTATTGAGCATGCATGATGAGCTATGCCGTGGACAGACAGCTATGCAGGTATGTATGTCTATACTTAAGTAAGTCCTGAAAAAACAGGAGGACTCTTCTGTGGTCCAGTAGGTAAGTGGTTAGGGCATTCCCCCAGGAAGTGGAAGACCTAGGGATGTCCTAGGGCCCCCTCACCCAAAGGGAATATTAACCTACATCTTTCTGACTTCCCAGCATAGTATTCTAACCACTATAGATTAGGCATTATCCAGTGGTCCCTCCTTCACTGCTTCTGAAGTTGAGTCACTGCATGTAATAGTCTTTGGATGGAGAGCAGTGGGGAAGTTTCTGCCTCACTGGAACAAGGCTCCAGGCTAGAATCCAGGACCTGTTCCCTTCCAGGGCAGCAATCTTTACTGTGTTCTTCTTGGATCCACATACCTCCCATCTCTTGGTTGCCCAAGGGACAACATTCAAAAGGAACACTGGAGATGGGACTGGATAATGCTTTTCCCATGTCCTGGTTGTTGGAGCACTGTGCTGGCAAGTCACAGAGATTCACATTCGAACCCTCACTGGGGTCTGGGACCTAGCACTTGCATTTCCCAGGCAGGTATCCTAACCAGTCAGCTCTTGGAACTAACACCTGTGAGGGCACCCCTTCTCTGGCATCTAACACATACTAATCACGGGGTTTTGCTAGGTAGAATTTTGTGACTTAACATCTATCATTTGCGTGTATACATCTACATAGTGGCCTAGCCAGTGAATAGTCTACTATACTTGCTGAGTAGCCACAGGGATGTTATGCATCTACACTGTATGGGTAATAGAATTACACATAGGATGTAAGTGCCAAAAATGCCACTTACCAGGCTGGCAAATAGGGTGGCCATCATAGAGGACAGTCCGGTTGTTCTCTGTTCTCTATTGATATGAAACCTGACACCTTTACGTCCTCTGTTTTTCTCTTCAAGACATCTTGAAGAGAAAAACAGAGGACGTAAAGGTGTTGGGCTTTGTATCAATAGAGGACAGAGTAGCAGAAAACCAGAATGTCCTCTATGATGGCCACCTTACTGGCAAACTCTCATTTGGATTGGCAAAGTAAAGAATTTGGCCCCCTGTCTGTATGGTACTCTAAATGAAAATTGGATCCTACATTTCTTGTGAATCCACTCAAAAAAAAAAAAGTCAGTCCACAGTCCTGTCCACCAAGCAAAATTTTGGTTCTACAGATGACACCTGCAAGTCTGTCCATTATCTTCAAGAGGGGTTGGATTGGGATCTTGGTTAGCTTATTCCAAAGAATTATTTCTACACTGAAGACACTTGGTTTGTTCCATGCAAAGATATCCGTTTGTAAGTCCTCATAATTAATCAAGCCAAAGGCAGAATTAATTATTCTACACTAGGGCTGTCTGGTTTTGGTGCATACCATGTGGGTCACATTGTCAGGTCAGCCCATCCCCAGGATCCCTCCTTGTTTCATGGGCTGTGCTTGCAACACATGATGTTCCCCCCCAACCTCACAGACAGTGCTGGTGGCATGTGGCATCCTGGCCTCTGGACTATGCCAGCAGCACATGGCTCTCCATTGCATAGGATGCATCAGAGACAAAAGACTCCCTCCCTGCATCATGTGGCAGGCAGGGGAAGAGGCCACTGAGATGGTGAGGAGAGGGGAAACTCTTGCTCCAAACCATCAGCAGCTGTTATGTTCTGGTAGCTAGGTGGGGACAAGACGTATAATTTAGATTGATTCTGCCTCAGGCTTTTTGAATGTCTGTTCTAGCCCTAGAGTTAAAATTGGAGCAGTTCTGCTACGTTTGTATGGCTTCTGGCTTAGACTTCCATAACTGTTAGCATGTAACAGCACACTCCCGATCCACAGCTACACTTTTGAAATAGTTCTCATTTGAAAGGGCTCAAAATATACGTGTGCCCAGATCCAGTATTGTGTGGTAAAACCAGCACAGCACTGCTTGCCCTGTGCTTTCATCCAGCCAGTGCTTTTAGGCATGTACATTTATGCAACTACATTGGTCACTTAAGATGTCAATGTATAGTCACACTAATAAGCAGTGTTAGAGATACTACATTTATTTTTATTGTTCCTTTGCCACATGACTACTGTATAGTTCTGGAGGATTCCAAGTCAGTTTCACATTTGCATCAGACATCATTGTGGTCAGTAAGATGCTATTTGCATTAATTGCAAAATGTATCATTTGTCCTGTTTGCTAAGAAGAAGTAAAGAACTATTTCCTTTTACTGAAATTTTTCAGGTTAACTCAGACTATTACAATATGTAAACAGCACCTGCTTGTTCTGACCTGGAAGTTGAACTTATTCAAGCTCTCACTGAAACCAGTGGAAGTCTTTAAATTTACAAAATGTGATTTCCATCAAGGTCTCTAAAAATGAGAAGCAGCAAAATAATTAGTAGTGATGGACAAAGCAAAGCACCGTAAAATTTTTGTGACCCCTGTAAATAACTGGCCTGTGATGGTTGCTCGTTTCAATTAGAAATGAGAACAAAAAAGAGAAAACAGCTTTGGAAACCCTGCAATGATATCTAGATAATTCTCTGCCTACCATATGTATAGCCATGCTAGAGAAGGACCACCACATTTAATCAATTAATAGCTGTGGTACTCAAGTAAAAGAAATCTTGCTGTGGTAAACTGGGGTGAAACCACTGCATGACTCCTAAAGAAATATGGAGGAAATGGCAGCACTAGATGAAAGTTGTAATTCTGTGCTTGAACATGTAGCTGTACTTCCTCATCTTGCACAATCTTATGAACAGGATTGAATGCAGAGCAGAAAGAAAGCACTGTTGTATCCTGTATGTGTGTTCCATTCTTCAAATTGTATGTTTCAAGAAACAGACCTTATATTAAAATCTGTTTCTTTAGAAATTTGGTTGAGATCATTACGGGGTAAGCTGTTTTTTAAAATGTTGAGGCAATATTCATGAGCGCTGCCATTACACACACAGAGCTATTACATGAGTAAGTATGGTAAGTTAGTGCATTTCATTGAGCTAGAGCAAAGATGCTGTTATTTTAATGCTCTTGGCTTGTTTCTAGATTATAAAACGTTAGCTCTTCAAAGATGACTAGCATTTGAAGGGAAAAAAATGCTTTCAGATGTTCTTTTTAGTTAAACTTGACAAAACCCACTTTTTAATTAAAGTACCAATTTCCATGTAACAATCTTATGTCTATTTGTCTTTTTTTGGCCAAAAGCTATACTTAACTACTGAAGTTGGTAATATTTAGCAGTCATTTTGATATTTTTAAAATAACTCTGAATTGATACTTTTCATCTTAATTCAAGGTATCATTTTATGTTCTGTCATTTCAAGTACAGACAGATCATGCTGATAATCTTATAACAAAATTCTGCAGATTGCATATTGATTTTAAAAAAAATTAAAGTTGTATTTCAAAATATCATTGTCTTTGTTCCTGTTATTAAATATTTATCAAGAGGATTTTACATGTAAGAGAATTAAGATAGATAATTCATTTTCATGTTATCTGTTGCCATTTAACATGAAAAAGCTTTCATTTATATATGAATGGGGCCAGAGCCACTCATCCTAAATATTAAATGTTAGGTAACTACACTATGGGGTAGCTGATTTTGTATCATATTATGTTTGTGGTAAAAACTGTGCCTGCTATTTCCCCTTTTTACCACCACAGGCTAAGAAGTATCTCTGTGATACTTGAATATACCCCAATGAAAAACACTTCCTAAAACTCTGAAAAGTAAAGTTATATAGACAATAACTAAAACAAATTATTAATGCCTAGCAATACCCACATGAGAAAATATGCAAATATGTCAGAGATTTGTGGGCATAGATTCAAATAAAGGGATTAATAAAGCATAAAATAATTACAGCTAAATTAACTCCTGATATAAACAAGCTATTAATGTTAATTGAATAACAGTGCAAATCCAGAGGTAAATTTCTAGAGAAATAAAGGTGAATTTCTAGAGAATTTCCTAGACAACAGCTAATAAAGAGATTGATTGACCTCAGAAATGCAGATTAGTCTGTACCTACAAATTGCATACCAGATTGCAATTTGAGGTTTAGGGTCAGGGTTAGGGTTTCCCGTCCCATGGGAACTATTCCTGTAAGAAAATTTCCCCAAGAATAAAACTACCAGTACTTAGATACCCATCAGAGTTGTCATCCTATCCTGCTGTCTGTGCTTTGAATTTAGCAGACTATTCTCTGAAACACTGGGTGTGTCTACACATGAATTTACTTATGCCTAAACTTAATGCACCTTAGCCTAAGGCACA